ATGCCAGTCCGGGTCCGACAATTGCCGTGCGCAATTCCAGCTGCAGTAGTTGCAGTCCTCATGCATAATGCATCAATTGTGCTGCTGGCGCCCGAGACGGGACCATCAACTATATCACTTACCATTCAGTCACCAGCACGCCGTGATTCCACTGTTTAGGAGCACAGTATGTGAGTATGTGTGTATGTGTGTGCATTTGAATACAAGTATTCAAGGTATTCTTTTTGTTTTTTTTTGTTTTATTTTATGCCAAGCCGTGCATTCAGCTTATTTACTCACACACTCACACCCGCACACCGACACACATCATGCTGCCAACGGGTAATTAGAATCTGGGTAAGATAGTAGTGTGTGCCACTACTAAATGCGACCCGACTGAATAATTCATAAATTAAAGGCCTCTCGGACAAGAGCTCTGAAATTGCGTTCATATGCTTAGTTCATTCCTGTCTGTCTGCCTGTCTGTCTGGCTTCAAAGCCAACCGCAAACATGGCCAAAATGTAAACAACAACAACAACAGCAGCAGCAGCAGCAACAACAACAACAAGAAGACCCTTTCATTTCTATATGAGTATGTATGCATTTAGATTTTAAGTGTGAGCGAGTCAGATAATAGGGAGATTTGAAGGAACATGTTTGCACAGGCAACGACCCATGCTAAACTCTGCTTGATTTACTAGAAAACAGTTGCCGAATTTCTTTATGTGAAAACATTTCAATTCTGTCAGCAAGTCTGAGGTCTTTAGAAACCCAATCAAGTGTTTAATCGATATGCCAAAGAATATAATTTAATGACAAGTCCTATAGATGTCTAGCTAGGCAGCTCCAAGGCGACAAGTCAAACAAATGAAATGAAGCCAACACAACATAGATAGCATATTTAATGCCAGACATGAGCTATGTTTTACTATAATTTTGTTATACCTCTAACTCACCACCTTTAACCTCTGACAACTCAAATTTTATAGACTTAATAGAATTTATATCAACGTTGCCTGTTACTGCTGCTATCGCTGCTTCTGTTACTGTTGCTGCTTGCTATTGCTGTTTCTGCACTCCTTCTGCTACTGCTTCTGTTACTGTTGCTGCTGCTACTGTTGCCGCTGCGCTTGCTGCTGCTATTGCCGTTTCTGCTACTGCTTCTGTTAAGCCTTCTATTGCTGTTGCTACCGCTACTATCGTTACTTTTGTTGCTGCTGCTGCCGTTACTGATCGACCGTATTAGTAGTAATGCTGCTGTTATTGCTGATACTTCGGCTATTACTGCTGCTCTCACTTCTACTGCTAATACTGATGCTATAGCTGCTGCTGTTATTGCTGCTAATTCTCTTGTTACTGCTGCCACTGCTAATGTTTCAGCTACTACTGCTGGTTCTGCTGTTGTTGCTGCTTCTGTTACTGCTGTCGCTTCTGCTGCTGCTGCTGCTTCTGCCGTTCTGCTAATGCCATAAAGAATCTTTTAATCAAATAGAATTTCAATGCCAGCGTTATTTATACATTTTATGATTGGCCATTTCAGTTCAGAGTCCCAGACACAGACAGTTAGCCCATAATGTGCTGGCCATAAAAATTATAAATAAATAAGGCCACTGGAAATTATTCTGCGTCAAGGCTTCATATTTATGAGAGACTCGGCCTTATCATTGGCAACGGCTGTTCACCGTTTACCAGGCCATTTATCCGACTATTCCAATTGCCTATTTGTGTGCATATATTATAATCGAGCTCTTTTTTAGACCACCTGGTCTACATTTCGTATACTTTACATTCCTACGGCAACTTTGGACACGTAACTTTTAACTTAATATGCAGACTTTTGATACGCAATACTTCAGGAAAAGAATTTCAGTTTACTTTAAAAAAGGTAATCTAAGCAGAAATTTTGTTATTTTTTTGTACCTTATTATCAAGAAGAAATAAAATATCTCTAGTCGAGTTTGCTTCACTAGAAAATACTTCCTTTAAGCACCCAGAACAAACAACAATCAACGCGTGCACCAGTTCATGCGGGAACTGCTCTTGGGCTTAACTTTGGGCTCTATGACAATTACATACATATTCATATGTTGCCATAGCACAACTTTCTAGTACTTAATACCGAACACCGAATCCATAGTAAATTAAGAATGTCCAGGCCGTACGGCACTCAGCCACGCTTAAAGAACACACTCAAATCGATTTTTGTCGGTAATCTAAAGTGGAATGAACTATTGAACGAAACGGATATGGCTATATCACGACACGGATATACTCAGTTCGTTGCCCTGATTAAGAGTATATATAATATATAATACATATTATAAAGAGTGTGTCGGTTCCGCTTCTGAATGTTACGTACACTCCCACAAAACCAGTGCATAGCACTATTTGAGTGGATATTCCAAAATACTGTGAAACTACCAAGGCTTCTTTTGAGCTTAGAATCGCTTAATCCAACTAATACTCGTGGTAATTGTCGTATTAGATTATCGTTCAGTAACGAATTCGATTGGTCCCCTTACTTTCTAGATACCAAAGTTGATCATTATATAATGAAACAGTTATGCAATTAAAATGCATACATTGAATGATCATCACATATGTAAAGGATGGTTTTTAAGAGCTATAGCAAAGGTTTTCAAAAAAACACACGCAAAATTCAGAAAAATGTATGAAATCTTTACTTGAATCGATAGTACGGTGCATATAATTTAATGTTTGGAGATTAAATGCTTCAATGTTGTCTTCCAATGCGTCAATGGAAGCGGGCTTGTCTGAATGGACATGAGCTTTAACATAGACATACAAAAATAGTCTAAAGGCGTTATATCGCACAATCTGGGTGGCCAATTGACCGGTCCCGAACGTGAAATAAAATGTTCACCGAACTCGCCTCTCAATAAGTCCATTGTTAAGCGTGGTGAGTGGCATGTGGAACCGTCTTGTTGAAACCACATGTCATGGTTAAAAAAATAAAAAATATCATCACACGGTAACGCTCACCATTGACAGTTCATGGTCAGGGTCATCATTAACACTAGCCGATACAGCTGCGATATTTTCTTCAGTGGGTCGTTTTGATATTAAAATTGTATGAATTGCAGTCGTTGCTCATTGTAAGACGATTCATGATTAAATAGACCAAACTGAAGATGACAAAGATAATAGCTAAAAATCACCCTTTACATGAAAAGGTATTTATAAATGAAAGTGCCAAGAGCAACAAGAAGCTAAAATGATTTTTATTTATTGTAATAAAATTGATCGAATGGTTTTGATATTGAGTGGATATTCCTGAACACAGCTAAAATATCAGCCATTTAACTCTTCGAGAATAACAACTTGATGAAACACATTTGATACTTTTTCTAATGAAACATTTATATTTGAAACGTTATAAAAAATTAGATGCTTTAAAGAAGGAGGACATTTTGCGGTTTGACTTCATTAGGTGGAACGCAAGAAAACAAAAAGCATCGTGGGCAGCATGGCGGTGGAAAGTTTTCTATTGGGGGGTATGCACTTGCAGGATATTCCCGTGGACAGCAACTCGGCGGTTGAATCAACTTATCGGCTGCCCCAGCAATTGCCATCAAAAATGGGAGCAGTAGAATCCACTTCATCACGGAGCTGTAATCTTCAGTAAACTGGTTTGCTGGCCCTTGGGCTGACTCGCTTTATATAGCCAAATGAATCGTGCTTATCTAATTGGAACCGGGTGGTGTAACTGGCAAATATGCCAATTGGCCTCAGGTGACATTCCGTAACGTATTTGATAAGTTCTCTTATTTTTAAAATGCAAAGGCTTATCATTATATAAGCCGAAAATTTGTAACCCATGTCTATGTTTGACAGTCTGTGTGTGTGTGCGCGTGTGTGCATGTGTTGTGTCTTTGTATACAGAAGAACTAAGAGAGGGGCCAGAGAAGTGTTTTTAGATAGACATATGTATGTGTTTATAAAATCAGAAACAAATTGTTCTGGTTAACAGAAACAATATACCCTGATTTCCCACTTTCAATAGATTCAGGGTACGAAAACAATATCTATATGTATATATATATACATTGCCTGCAATACATATGTTAAAGTGATTCCCTGGAATTCATAAAAAATAAAGCAATTCAGATCATATTTACTTTGGGGAGCTGCCTTAAATATTCTTCAATTGGCATTTGATTTTCTTGCTGACTTTTAGTTTTGTTAAATTTGATTTAATTGGTGTATGCCCTCTGGTGCTTGGCCCAGCGAATGCTGTTCGCTTTTATTGCCATGGCTGACGCATAGCTGCACACGATTTATTAAAGCTGTGGAAATTACTTTTGCACTCACTGTTGACTTACCACCTGAGCGCCTCAGCGAAGGTATGCCAACGTAGACTCTGCCTCGCAGCGCAACAAATGAAATTTGCCAGCACAAAGAGCATATGAAACTCATGCCAAATGTAGTCTCTCTCCATGGCTGCTCTGCAGTCTCCTTCCCGGCTCAGCTGCTGATTCATCAGCCGAAGAGCTCTGCCTTTGAGCTACTTCAAATTCCATAAAAGTCATGCAGGCTCCTAACTGAGTTTCGTTGGGCAGCGCTTTGTGAGGAAATAGATTGCATCATCGAAATATTTCCTCTCAATTTTACTTTCAATTCTCGCTCTATCTATCTCTATCCTGTTGCTTTCTGTGGTAAGCAGGTTTCCTCTTATTTTCTGCTTCGCCGTCAAATGATGACTTGGCAAAATACTCTCGACATTTCGCCCACTAAATTATTTATGCTGCTGCTGCTGCTGCTGCCTTTCACTTCGAATGAAATTTGTAAAAATTGACTTTGAGTGACATTTATCTGTGAAGTGCATTAGCTGAAAACACTTTTCAATATTTTGCATCTCACTCGAGAGCTGCATTCTGTCATTGATTAAATATGCCCTTATTGAATATATGTACATACATCCGAAAATATCTAAAGAGGAAGGTGGAGACCTCTATGATTCTATGTGGAAATATATCACCTCATGGGACTGACTACTCACCCTGTCTCAGTTACATCGCCTGCTGGCATCGGCTCCATCAGAGCCAACCACGACAATGTCCAGCTCTGGCAGCTCGGCTGCGCTCTGGAAGAGGCACTCGCTCGTCTCCAGCATGCTGATGCCCGTCGTGTTGTCGGAGCTGACGAAGGGCGTCTCGCTGAAGCGCACCTCCACCGTCTGCTCGTCGCCGGAGTCGATGTAGTCGCCGTCCTCGTCTGTGCGCCGTCGGATGCGACGGGTGAGCTCCACCTGCTGCTGCTGTTGCTGCTGCTGTTGCTGCTGCTGGGACTGGGACTGGGATTGAGACTGGGACTGGCAGCCGTGGAGCAGGGCAGCGTTGATGCCGCGTCCACTGAGTATTGGGGAGACGGCGCCGTTGCCGTTGCCGTAGGTGGGCTCGCGCGGTATGATGAGCAGCTTCTCCTTGGGCAGGCAGGTCTCCTGGGTGATGCCATTGTCGTCTGGATCGTCGACATCCAGACTGCCGCCCGGGCCGCCCTCGCCATTGCCGTGGTGGAGGCGGGGGCCGCAGGTGTTCCGATCGCTGCGATTGTAGCCGCGGGTGATGTTGATGATGTTGTTGTTGGAGGGATTGAAGCAGGGCAGCACGTGCTTGAATTCTTTGCGGAAGTTCTCGTTCAGCCAGGCATACAGGAAGGGATTGTAGCAAGTGGAGCTCATGGCGATCGAGTGAGCCACGAAGAAGAAGAGCATGTAGAGGCGCCACTCATTCGACTTGTCGTCGAAGTCATCGAATATGTTCACCAGGTTGATGGGCAGCCAGCTGAGTCCAAAGACGGCCACCATTGCGATCAGCATGCGATTCGTGCGCTTCTTGCGATCGCGATCCGCCTCCTCGCGGCGCGACGACTTCGAGCCGGGCTTGGCCCTGGCCCGCTGGTTCAGCTTGACTGAGATCCAAACATAGCAAATCGATATGATGAAGAACGGCAGGACGAACTGCAGCGTCGTGGTGATGGCCCCGAACACCTTGCGGTAGTGCTCCGACGGCCAGTTCTCCTCGCAGACGGTGACGCCGTCCGAGATCACCTGCATGTAGGCCTGGGCAGCCGAGGTGGCGTCGGGCGCGGGATAGCCGTTGCTGCGGCCCCAGCCGCTCGTCTCATTCACGCCGATCAGCTGAGTGGCGTTGTCCATCACCTCGTTGGTCATCTTCATGTACATGCCGTAGGGCACCGTGGCCAGCAGAGCGATCACCCAGATGCTGACAATGATGCCGATGCACGTGGAGAGCTTCATGCGCGGGTGGAACGGGTAAATGATCACGAAATACCGATCGATGGCAATCGAGGTAAGCGTCAGCGTCGATATATATATGCTGCAGCCCTGGGCAAACGAGACCAGATGACAGAGCGTCCGGCCGAACGCCCAGCGGCCCATGAACGTGTAGAGGGGCGTAAAGGGCACGGCCAGCACGCAGAGCAGAATGTCGGAGAGGGCCAGGTTGGTAATGAATATATTGGTGACCGTCTGCATGGCCCGATTCCGCAGCACCACGTAGCAGACCAGCACGTTGCCAAACACGCCCAGCACAAACACCGTGGTGTAGAGCACATAGAAGAAGATCTGCACGAACTGATTGTGTATAATGCCTGATTTATCGCCATCCGCGCCATCCACACTCAGGCTGCCGACGGTGCTGCTGCTGGCGGCGGTGCTGCTGGGGAAGCTGATGGTGGCTGTGGGGCTGATGGTGGTAGTGGTGGTGCTGCTGCCGCTGCTGCCGTGCGTGGCCAGTGTGGTGGTGCTGCTGCCACTCCAGTTCATGCCCAGCACATGGGGCAGCTGCGTGCTGACTGAGACCAGCCAAGCGTTAACCGTCTCGTTGCTGACATTGGCCATGCTTAAGGACTTTGTTTGGATATCTAATGAGTCGCTTTCCAGTTGGAGATTCAGCTTAAGGGCGGGGGCCAATGGCTATAGCAGTGACTGCGGCTGAGTGGATTGCTGTTGTTGCCTTTGTTATTGTTATTGTTGCTGTTGCTGTTGCTGTTGAATCCTGTCCGGTTTTACCGGAAGTCCGCCACTTAAGCAGCCATTTCCGTCGTCTGGGCCGGATCACGTTTCAAGTTTATCTTTATCTTCAGCTTCAGCTTTATCTTGAATGCCTTTTCACTTGTATTCAAAAAGTTTGCCTTAATATTTGGCTCATTGCTAATTGCTCCAATGCTAAAAAGATAGAAGAATTTAAGAAAAATCATTAGCATTAGATTTGTAGTATAAATGTAAAAGTTCATCCGACCGGAATTGCTTCTTAGTTGGAATTTGAAACTTAGTTTGCTTACTGCTTGCTCTCACTTCCCAGCTACCCATCCCCCTCCCACCCACTTCCATTTATAGCTGTTGTCCCGAAGGATTAAGCCATCCCCTTGCCAGCCATCTGCTCAGTTGCTGTCTCACTTGCACGCACTCTCTCTCTCTCTCTATCTCTGTCTCTGTCTGTTGTAAAAACAATGTGGCAGGAGCAAAATGCGCCAAGGCGGAAACCAAACTGTGCCATCAGAACTCAACTTTTGTATTGTCTCAGGGCAGTTTATATAACTAGAGTTGGATAAGTCAGTGCGATAGAGACACCAGCCCTGACACCTTGGCAGCTCATTGAATTTGATATACAATGCGAAATGGCGTGGAATAGTGGAAGGAATTCCGCTTAAAGCGAAACACTATTTAAAACTGACTTGTGCTATGAAATTATTCATAATGTTAATAGTGAATGCCAGGGATTTCATTCCTTATTTTGTATAACCAAGGATTAATTTGCTTTATGCTTCAACTCAGCTCACAAATTAATATAATGTTTGATGATATCCATGTAATGCAACCAGTTGATACATTTCTACAATATTTATATTCGACTTCTCACAATGCAAGTATTAAAATTGCAGTTTGGGCAGCATTCCTGTGGGAAGCCTGTCATTGATGGGTATGAACTAGCAGGAAAATGTCTTGTGCAACATTCCGGTGGCAAATCGAAGACCTCAGTGGTTGGCGACTGCCATACAAAATGGGAGAATGCACTTCATCACTGTAATCTCCTGTATATTAACTTGGCTCTTGGTCTGTCAGGAAAAGCTAATGGAATTTGCGTATCTAATTAAAAACTGTCGATTCTAATTTGAATGCACTGTAACGTTCTGTAAAATATTTTAAAGGGTTTCTGCTTGTACTATATCGCCAAAGGAAAAAATGAAAGAGCTGGGGAGAATGGCAATAGAGTATTAGCCAGTCGATTGCCTGATTTATACAACAAATTTCATTTCAATTTATGAAGTAAAGTATATGGTTTTTCGAAAATAGAAATTCCGTTGAATATTCAGAGTCCAGTTGACTGTTTTATGTTCCTCAATTAAGTTAATCTGATAACAAATCAATAAATTAATTTCCTCTTGAGAGTGAACGGATTCTGTCGTAGTATTTGAGCAGCTATGCAGCTATATGAAGATGATTAGATCGAGTGCTCTATGCAGATGTGAAACTAATTGCATTCGGTTAGCCCGATTTCAGTGGAAAACTCTTCAAAGCGCAGTTCTAGATGCCTGCACAGCCAACAGCACTTTAATACGCCTGCAGCCTCTGAAAGGAATGCACAGTGCAGAGCTTAGCCCATTGCTACATCCAGAGCAAGCAAGGCGGCTAATATCAATTAGAAACATCGCATGCAGCTACACTCAATCCAAGTTTGGATTTATATACACACACTTTTGAAATATACGTGCCGGATAACAAATATGCAGTAATATTATTTCTCAGTACGAATAGTTAGCTGTTGGTATTAAAAGAAATTTGACCTTATAGTACAACCCCTACATATTTTAAGTCTGTGTCAATGCTTGCAATAGTAAGCAAATTCTGAGTCAAACGTCGCATTGATGTAGCATCTCTCCCACTCAGCTGTAATCTAAGTCCCTCAAGCAGAAACAGTCCTCTCTCTCTTTCTCTACAAATTCTTAATGGCAGGACAAGCCACTTTAATTTGCCTTTCCATTTATTGCTTTCCATAAATTGCGTGTTTCAATATTGAGAAAATACCTTTTACCAAATCAAAGTCCAAGACAGTGAGAGAATGTCAAAAATGGTTGAGCACCGCGGGCGCAAGCCGAAAAATATAATAACTTTGATAAATTAATAGGCGGAAGTGTGCTAAAACGCTGGCCCGGCATCCGGGGCAGGTTGGCAAGAAACGGCCGCAGGATAGGTTGCAGCACGAAACGAACTGCGACAGCCGGAAATTCCGTAAAAAATGGCAGTTAAGAATTTTATATTAACGCATTGGCCGACAAGGGGCCCACAGCCCGTAAACCGTAAACCGTGGACCGTCGACCGAAGCCCACAACAAAGGCGGTAACTACTCAAGCTGTAAACATTATCGAAATCATTATTATTATCAGGCAGCAGCAGCTCATCATCATCTTCATCATTGTCATTGTCATCTTGCTTATCCCGCACATTATCTCTACCAACAAGGCAGCACAAAGCAGCTTGAGTGTGTCATCCTGCCAACTGTCCGACTGCCCGACAATTCGACAGCCGGTGCTGGTAGCGTAAGCTGCGCCACTTGGTAATTTTAATTTTGATGCATTTGTCACCATTTTTTTCGGAACGATTTATCTTCCAGATGAAGCTGCGCTGTAATGAAACGAGGCATCGGTGTCACAGCCAACCGCTTACTTTAATGGGATTTACTTTATGTTTTCATGTTTCCTCTTCTTTGTATTTTGTATAGGTGAAGCATTGCTTCGCATAGCTGCCAGCCGCACAGAAGTCCCTCTGCTTGTACTCATAGCAACAACATCTATTGCCTACTTATAGGCGTACGTGAAGCTTTTATGGATTTCCCTTCTTGGTCTATCGAAAGGGACAGGAGGCGGCTCTGGTCTACGTGGCTGACCCTTTGGAGTAGAAGGAGGAATTTCTCGGAAGGAGACTTGGCTTTTCACTTTTACTTTCTCAACTTTCTCGCACTCTCCCTACACACTTTGTCAGACACTTTCTTTTATTGCTTTACTTGTCAGAGCCATGTATCTAGATGGTGGCTACAGGAATTCTGAGTTGAATTTTTATATTTTTTATGAGAGAAATAAAGCATTAAATAAGCTGCAATAAAAATTAAAATATATAAATGATAGTGTAGACACATTTGAACTACTGTAGAGCTATGGCTTTATAACTACATAATAAATCTTAAAGTATAATAAAAATAACTTTAAAATTGTTCATTGAGGCCACATATCAATATGTAGATTTGTAGCCTGCTTTTGATCAATTATTGTTTTGTAAAAAAATTAATCTATTCGTCCAATTGCCTTTCGCGTGTGATTCCATGTGCTAGAGTGAGAAGGCTATGCGGTCTGTTAAGTTAACAGCGGGACGACATTCTGCTAAAATTATATGCAACTCACAAAAAAAAAAAAAAAAAAAAAAAAAAAAAAAAAAAAAACTGTTCAGCTATTAGAAATTCTACAAATTTACTTATTGTTAGTTAAACGTAAAAGGAACTGATCTTTTTGTAACATCCAAAGTCTTTTAACAGTGAGTTAGCTCTATAGCGCTAATAGTTATGCTGACGAAATTCAATATTATTATAATTATATTATATTTATTTTTT